CCTCTGCCCCGGGCCTAGCCCCGCGGGAAGGACCCGGGGCCACGGCGGGGAGACTGGAAAGGCCTAGAACCGCGCCCGGGCTCCTCTGGGGACCGAGTCTCCCAAGGGGTCGCTCCTGCTAGCCAGCCGGGAGCGACAGGAACCGTTTTTGTGCCTCCTCCGTGGCTGTGGACTGGAGCCCCATAGCCCGGGACTCGCACATGCAAGTCTCTGGCGAGGCAGCGGAAGGGACGATCCCGGGGCGACCGCCGACCCCGGCGAGGACCCCAGCCCGTCCCCCTAGGGGCCCCGATGAACGAGGACTTCGGGGTGCCCCCTCCCCAGCACGTTTGTGCGATTTCTGTGATCTAGTCCTTAAGAAAAGTGGCCGTTTTTTTTTCCCCCTCTAGGATGCAGAAAGTAGATGACATTCCATCCACACTGTGAGCAAATTGGAGAGAGTACCTTGATAGAGGACTGATGTTTTTCACTGATGAGATGGTAGGGGTTGCCTTGCTATTGGAGAAATACATCATCCCTGGAGAACTGTGAGCAAGTGGAGCGAGTGTGGGCTTTGAAGGGTAGCGAGCTTGCACCCTGACCGGGGAGGGCGCGGGTCACGCAGTTGTTGATGTGGAACAGGTAATTGCCCTGTTTGGAGTTGCCTGTTCTGCCCTGGAATGTACTCCAGGGCCTGACGGGGATGGCAGAACTGTAGTAAATAATAAGAGGAGGCAGTCGTAGGGGCCACTTTTAGCTGGAAGTTCTTGGGGGACAGAAAAATAACTTGGAGTAGTGAGTGGTTCTGAGTAAGCTCAGGAAACAGCGAAGAAAAACTGAATCTGGTCATTTAACACGCAGCCCGCAAATATCCAGTGCTAGAAGAAAACACCAAAACGCGGTACAATTCTGTATGTAGGTCCACTTCCCGTGTCTGGCAATTAAAATAAGAATATATTCTTGCGATGTTGGATTCTGTCATCATTGGCTTTATTTTTTGGAGATAGGGTTTCACTCTGTCCCCGAGGTTGGAATGCAGTGTGGTGATCTTGGCTCACTGCAGCCTCGGCCTCCCTGGCTCAAGTGATCCTCCCACCGCAGCCTCCTGAGTAGCTGGGACCACAGGCACCACCACCCCTGGCTAATTTTTGTATTTTTGTATTTTAGAGGGGGTTTCGCTTGTTGCCCAGGCTGGGGCTTTAATCTTTTTTAAAAAGTATCCATTTGTGATTCCACGCTGCGTGGGGGCAGCTCAACATCTCGGGTGCTTCACCATGACCTGGGAGGGAGAGGCTGCCCCCACTTTATAGATGAGGTGGCCAGGCCCGCAGACACTAAGGGACTTGCTCAGATGTACAGAGCCAGGGTTCAAATTCAGTCTGTTTGAAGCCTGTATATTTAGTATTTTAATTAATATAATGTATACAATAGGAACATCAGTGAAAGACTTACAGTGAAAAGCAGTGGTCCCCTGCCCCACCTCTCAGCCCCATTCTTCAAAGAGGTTTACATCTTGAGTGGTTTCTTTGGGTCATTCTCCATAGCTCTAAGTAAGCTGATCTTTTTCATTTTTTTCCTGAGATAGGATCCCCAGATGTTGGCCAGGCCGTACTTGAACTCCTGAGCTCAAGTGATCCTCAGCCTCTTTAGTAGCCGTTAATACAAGTGTGAGTGACTGCACCTAGTTCTAAGCTGCTACTTGGTTTTACACAGCCTTGACTTTTCTGTTACGATGGGGTGATGGAACCCTTCTGTCATATCCCACCTCTTCTATCCCCTGGACTGTCTGTATCAGGCCTATGTAAATACTGTTCTCTTCACAGACAAATTGAGTGTTTCCCTTCCTGTACAGCATGTTTTTTTTCTGTTAGTCATGGCTTTTCTCTTGGCACTTTCTGTTCCCATCGACTCCTTACATTGTTTTAAATGATCTCAAGGATAGTGTCAGGTCCCCTTCCTCCTTCAGCCCCTAACCTTTTTCTCATCTGGATGGGTTATTCTTTAGCCTGCAGACGAGCCAACCTGATACTTTCCTTCTACGGCTGGATGCGTTCAGAAATGTTTTCATCTCGGCTTTGTTCATTTCCACAGGACGCTCTGGCAGATGCTCTTCCTCTCTGGAGACCCTTCTCCCTCCCTGAACGCTCTTGGATCCTCTCTTTGGTGTTAATGACATTTTACCGTGTGCTGAGGTGTGTGGATTCCTACTCCGGGGACTCTCTGACTCTGGTGCCTTGTCCTTCAGCTCTGAGAAGTTCCCTTGTTCTGTCTGAGAAGTTCTTCCTCTCCAGCTCTGCTCTTCTGTCTTAGGAGTTCCTGTTAGTTTGTGATGGATGTTCTAGATGGACCGCTGGAGTTGCGCCTTTATCCTTCCTTCTGTGTCTGGTTTATTCTCATTTCTGGGAGAGGGCTTTCATATGTCTTCACAATCAAATTTTTAATTTCCAAGCATGTATTTGTCTTGTTCCTTTTTCACAGTAGCTTATTGTTTTACAAATGCCTCATCTCCATGACTCTAGGGAAACTAATAAGGATTCTTTCCAGTTCCTCTTTGTTCTGATTTCTTGTTTCCACTAATGTCACTTAAAAAAGAGTGTTGGCTTTTTGCTCTGTATGGCAAGTCCTCAAATACTGATATTTACTGTTGTCTGAGGCAGGAGGAGGCCGGCGGAGAGGCCGGCGGAGAGCCCGGGTCTGTGGGGTGCTTTTGAAAGAGTCCAGTTTTCCCTTGGGTGATTGGGAGCCTGTACTGTGGGACCTGGAGCGCCAACTTGCAGATACTTTCTCTGGGCTGCTCCGCTTCTTTGGGAGCCCCTTTGCTGGCCATGGGGGAGTTTGCTCTCCTGTGCGGGACCGACTCGGCAGGTGCAGGTTTGGCCTGTCCGCAGGGCTCTGTGAGGCCTGGAGCGCCACGCCTGTGCCCCCGGTGCTTTCCCTTTACCCTGATTGGGTTCTCTGCATCTGTCAGGAGTGTGTTCTTTCTTGTGGGTTTATAACACTCTATTAAAGATGATGTTAATGGGGTGGGAGGACATCACCTGTGTGGCCAGTCACTCCCCTTGAGCAGCGGTTTGAAAGCCCGTTCTATTCACCCTGCCTTCCCGCTGCCTCGTGGCCTTGGTAATTGCCCACAGTCGATGGGATGAGGTGCCAAGCCACTGTTCCACAGCCGCCTGCGAATTGCGGCGTGGGCTGGTGGCTCTGGCCCTGTGGCCTTGGAGGGCTGCCA